TCGGAGACCTGCACTGTTATGGTGTGCTGGGTTTTGAGCCTGGGTGTCCCCAAGTCAGTGACAGTGATAGTGATGTTGTACTCGGCTGTGGTCTCCCTGTCCAGCGCTCCTTCAGACATAAGTGTGTAAAAATTTTCCACGGATGGTTTTAGGATGAAGGGGAGATTGCTCTGAACGGAACACTTCACTTTTCCATTGTCTCCAGAGTCTAAATCAGAAACACTGAAAACGGCTACCACGGTCTCTGCAGTGTTCTCAGGGAGGGGGCTGTTAAGTGAAGACAGGGTCAGTTCTGGTGGGTTGTCGTTCACGTCAACCACTTGAACTATGACTGTAGATTTTCCTGAAAGACCGCCACCATCTTTGGCCTCTATGTCGACTTCGTAAGTATTAATTGCTTCAAAATTTAAATATTTTATTAGTTGTACATCACCAGTAATTGGGTTTAGTAGAAAAGTTTTGAGAATCTCTTCGGAGGCATGAAAAAATGCATATGAAATTGCCCCAAAAGTTCCTGTGTCTAAATCGGAAGCCGAGACTGTGAGTATGACAGAATTAATAGGGCTATTCTCAAGTATTTGAACCTCATAGAGTGACTGTCCGAATTCTGGGGCATTGTCATTTATGTCTAAGACCAGGATGTGGATTTGGGCTGTCCCCGACCGTGGTGGTGAGCCTCCATCCAGCGCCGTGAGCGTTAAAGTGAGCTCTGGCTGCTCCTCACGATCCAGAGGCTTGTTCAATACCAATTCTGGGTACTTCCTTCCATCCCTGCGACTGCGTGTAAAAACGTGAAAATAAGAATTGGGAGAGATCATGTAGTTTTGAAGACTGTTTCTTCCCACATCCAAGTCCTCAGCATTTCCCAAAGAAATTACTGTCCCTGCTGAGGAGCTTTCTAGGATTTGCACCTGCATTTCATTTTCAAAGAATATCGGAGAATGGTCATTTACATCTATGACCTGGAGTTCATTTGTAATAAACTGCAACGGGTTATGTAACAATATCTGGAAATTCAGTATACATGGCTCTGTGGAACTGCATAACTCCTCCCGGTCCAATTTCTTATTCAGGAATAAATCACCAGTTTGATGGCTGAGCAGAAAAAGCTGTTTGTTCCTTTTGCAAACAACTTGGGTCCCCCTTGCGGCCAGTTCTTCTATCCCTAGCCCCAGATCTTTTGCTAGATTCGCTATTAAAAAGCCCCTCTCTTGTTCCTCAGCCACAGAATAACGCCTCGACACAGACTCAGCCAGAGTCGCACCCAGTAAAACAAAGAGAAGCAAGACTTGCCTTTGTATAAGAAAGCACTCCTTTCTGGCCTCCATTGTAGTCTATCATGTTCTTCCAAGTAATACTGCCAAGTCAAACATCAGACACCACTGGGGAGCAAAAAGGCTTTTAACTTCCAGTCTAGCAATAGCCCCTTCCAGAGGCTTAGATTTGTTTGTTTAAAAATCTGCCCAGGCTCACAGACCCTAGTTCACCGCACTACAGCCTTGCTTACGTCATGGTAACGAATTCGCTTTTTTAGGCAACAGCGCCACCATGCGGTCACTTTCAGTTTTAAAATCTTGGAAAAGGTGTAGATGTTTGGTATTTTAAAAAAATTTTGTTATATTGCTGTTCCTTTTAGCAAACCCAGTTGACGCTACTGTAACATTTTCTTCTGTAACATGACTTAAATAAACATAACATAGTGAGGAAATGTACTCTAGTTGAACAAAAATCATGTGTTTAGTCTAACTTCTGTATTTTTCTACACAATCATCACGAATGTTACTTGCTGACTCATCTACTGAGTTTACTCTTAATATTAGTGAATATTAATAACAAAAATAACAGGATTTACACTTCTCTACTTTATGCTATTTTATTTTAACATAACTTCAATCAGTGGAAACAGCTGTTACTATAGGACAGGGGAGGGGGAGTAATGTGACTTATCTAACAGCCATCAGAAAATCATTTGGCTGATCCGAGATTTTCAATAAAAATAAATGGGTTCTATTTTACTACTAATTAAAAAATGAGACCTTAAAATTCATATTTTAATAGTATGGTTCATTCAAACATGCATAAAATGAGAAAATGTAAAGATAGGGTGAATAATATTAAGAATTAAAACTTGTTTAACATGGCTCAAGAAATTAAATTTCAAGACATGAAGAAAGGAGTAATCTACAATATATTCCCCCCCTTATTGCATGATTACTACAGCCACCAAGAACATTTTAAGTTCTAGATTTTTTTCATTTTAATGAAGTGCACAGTTAGTAGAAAATTTTTAATGATTGAGACAGATTTTAAGGGAAGATTAGAATAAGCATATGATTTTAAAAGTTTAAATAGAAAACATGAAAAATTAGCCTGCCTTTGAAAGTCACTAAACATGACCCATTTAACCACATTTTAGAATATTAGCGAGTGATTTTTCCCCATTACCTGGGATGGAACCCATATGTTCCCAACCTGTTTAAATTTTTACTTTGAGGGGTGGGGAGATAGCTCAGTAGAATAAGTGCTTGCCTGGCAAGCACAAGGGCCTGAGTTCAATCCCCAGTTCTACCCCCCCAAAAAAAAAGTTTGTGAAGGTTCTTGCCAAATGGCCCAGACTGGTTTAAAGCTTTTGATCTTCCCTTATCAGAGTCATAAGTAGGTGAAATTACAGGCCTTCAACACCCTGCCTGGCTTAAATAATTTTTGTAGGAAATTGTTAAGCATAAAAATGTTTTGTACACTTCAATAGTTAAGGTATTCACAATGTCTAAAGAGCCCATTTTCAGATTTTGACTCCTTAAAATATGCATTTAGATCATAGAGGGAGGTTATTAGGCTATTCACCAATGTATTTATGTTAATGGCTTAGCCTGTGTGAGTTCCTGGGATAAAAGTTACAATTGCCTAAGAGGTTATATAATAAACATTGGAGGCTGAACAACTCAACCTATATAACAATAGCAAATATTTCAGAATGTAGAACTTCAGAACTACCTGGAAACTGGACAAGGTGAGTTTAGGGGAAGGAGCTCTAATTTTAAAATAGAACACTCTGTCTGGAAATGGTGGCATATACCTATAATCCCAGCACTGTGCAGGATGAGGCAGGAAGATTATCATGAAGTGGAGGCCAGCCTGCACTACAGAGACCTTGTTTCCAAAAACAATGGCATATTTCTGAAAAAACAAAATTTTCTTTCACATTTTAAGTTAAAGTAGGAACGAAAAAAAAGTTATTCTACAACCAATCCCACCCCATACATTTTGATATAGCAGGAACATACACAGAATTGGAATAGGGTAATAACTTTGTAGTATTTTTAAAGATTTCCAAAGTGCCAAGCAATAAAAACAGGACTTTCTACAAAGGCAGTGAGCCCAAGCTCAGTAGATTATTAATATTTAACTAAATTTGAAGCTATTTCTAAAACTCGGGTTTTCATCACTAACCCTCTCCGAATTCCGCACAGGGAGGTTGGGGATAATTGGTTTCAGGAACTTAAAATCGCTGGTCTCTGAGCTTTCCCTCAGACACACCTCATACTGGTAGGAGTGCGACAGCGTCCCCGTGCCGCTGACGTCCACCAGGTGGGCAGGGAAGGGGCCCTCGGGCGCCGCCGAGCACACCCCCAGCGCGGCCGGCCCGCTCCTCCTGCACAGCCTGAGCGCCACGAAGAGCAGCAGCGACAGCAGGAAGAGCGACGACAC